AGAGATGTGGATCTGGTGGTTAAGAAAAATCAAATCAGCAGTATATAGTCACCCAAATCTTTTTTTGGGCAATGGTGGCTTAATGGTTATTGTTCCTAATTTGCATTAATGATATTGACACCAATACATACAGTAAACTGGTTAAATTTGCAGACAACACCAAGGTGGGTGGTGTAGCAGATACTGATCTAGCAGCAGAGAGGCTACAACGGGATCTGGATTTAATTAGCGACTGGGCTGATACTTGGCAGATGAAATTTAACATAGATAAATGTAAGGTACTCCATGCAGGGAGCAGAAATATAAAGTACAGATATTTTATGGGTTCCACTGAAATAAAGGTAGCTGATTATGAGAAAGACCTTGGTGTGTATGTTGATGCTTCCATGTTCCATTCTCGCCGGTGTGGGGAAGCAATAAAAAAGGCCAATAGGATGTTGGGTTACATCTCTAGGTGTTTGGAGTTAAAGTCAAGGGAGGTGATGCTATGATTATACAATTCCTTGGTAAGACCCCACCTAGAATATTGTGTGCAGGTTTGGTCACCATACCTTAAGAAGGACATTGCTGCCTTGGAAAGGGTGCAACGGAGGGCTACGGGAATGATTCCTGGTCTTAGAGGAATGTCTGATGAGGAGAGGTTAGCTGAGCTGAATCTGTTTAGCCTCGAGCAAAGGAGACTAAGGGGGGACATGATCCAGGTATATAAGATTCTAACAGGTCTGGATGCTGTTCAGCCAAATGGCTATTTCAATATTAGTTTAAATACTAGAACTTGTGGCCATAAGTGGAAATTAGCGGACATTTTAAAATGAATTGGAGGAAGCACTTCTTTACAAAGCGTGTAGTTAGAGTATGGAATAGTCTTCCTGGTTGTGTAGTGCAAGCTAAAACCATGGGTTCCTTTAAATCAGAGCTAGATATGATTTTAACAACTCTGACCTATTAGTTAAGTTCTCCCCAAATGAGCTTGATGGGCCGAATGGCCTCCTCTTGTTTGTAAATTTCTTATGTTCTTATGCAGAGGACACATTTCGTTGTTGTGCACTGTGTACTGTGGTGTGTCAACAATGACCACTGATCACTAAATTCAAATTCAAAATGTGAAATTTAATGATACTTGAAGGCTTTTAATATCTGCAGTCTGTTCTGCCCAGGGATTTGTTAGAGAACACATAAATATTGAACTGAATATTATACACACTTAGTAGCCAGTTTGTCTGGTACGCTGCTTGTTTAACGCAAACAGCCAGCTAATTCTGCCCAAACAGCCAATCGCGTTGCTGCGCCTGAATACAAACAGCATGTATACGAGGTGAAGAGGTTCACTACTGTTCCTGGAGTTTACAGCGAATGACGCCATAAGCAAAAAAAAACATCCAGCCAGTGGCAGTTCTGTAGCTGAAAATGCCCCACAAATAACTGAAGTCAGATGATAATGGCCAGGCTCATTAAGCTAACTGGAAGGACACCAGTCCAGTAATAACAGCTGAGTGCACAGTGGTGTGCATTAAGATATCTCTGAATTAACAACTCATCCAAACCTGAAGTGGTTCTGAAGACAAGAGGGGAGCCCTTCCTGGTACTACACAGACATACTCAATGAGGCGGTCACTGGATGTACATGCATAGCCTTTACTAATACTATCCATCCATTTTCTAAACCCTCTACCAAACTCTGCACAAGAAGCCAGAACAGAATCCCAGAGCTGTGAGGCAACACTGCTATAACTACACTCGGCTAATACATGTAAAATATTTAACTTAGACATTCAAAACTATAGTATGACAATTATTATGGGCCACGTTTAAGAATTTTAAAAGTGATTTGCAAATTAACTTGTGCAAGTACCACATCATCTTCCAGAACCAACTTCCCTCATTTTTGTCCACAACATAGTACACTTTTAAAGAGTTCATACTGTTAATATTCACAAGTTACATATACAAGAATTTAATATTATTTAGAATCTGGATGATGAGGCGAAAATGGTGAGAACAAATCTCTTGTGGACATCAATACATGTTGCGGTCACTAACAGCGGGATGTCGGATACAATAGTATTTGCATGACAGTCATCATAAATATAGGCTTTTCATGATTATGGGTTACGTCTGAGACTGCAGACCGGCGCGGCTTTGCACCCGCAGAGCTGCATTTAAGATCTGTGCTTAATTGGTGCCTTCTGCTAAAGATTACATCCCAGAAAACTATTATGGTACAAGGACAACATTTCACATTTGAGACTCCCACCGTTTCATCATAAAAAATAACACCTACATTGCCTTCTCCATGAATGTCGGTGTCCATATAGCAGCATATTACTTTCACAATAAATTTACAGGGAAAGTGAGAAACTGATGATTAAGACCACAAACTAGTCAAGTCCAGCTAAGCGTCCTGCTGCATTACCTACGAGCAAAGAACATGAATCGTTCCAACTAAATATATTAAATAGCGATCGACGACAGAAATACCTAATGTCAGTTACTGGATCTACTTGCTGGAAGATCCTCGACTGACGCACGTCCCTTATCGGATGCACATATTCTGTCAACGATTGGGACTATATACAAAGTGAACCGATTTACAGATTTATAGGTTTAAAACCCGTTGTTCGTATATTTAATCATTTTAGATGTTTTTATCAACAGATCCGTATATTTTATGTTTAATCTATTATTGTGTTCTATATATTCTTTTCTATACACTATATTGCATAAAATGCGCAGGCGTATAATTAAAACGCATAATTGTGATTGAATTGTGATTACCCCTTTCCCCCTATATAACCCATTTGTTATATATTAACTTGCACGTTCCTATCTGAGGGATCTTTTTAAACCGGATTATTTTGCGCCTTGACATCGATGACAAGTCATTATTGACTGCTTACAGACCTCGGCCTCGTCCAGTTGCCGAGGCAGCTGCGAGTTATCGCATCTGTATGGCTAGACCACAAACCTCAGATCCATGCTGAGTTTTGGGGGGGGGGGGTTCCGGGGGTTGTAGTAAAATAGCACCGCCGAATTTGATTAAATCGCTGTATTTTCTGTTCATTTTGAACTACATATCCCAAAATTCGATTGGCAACCCCCCTAAAATAACAGGAGTGCTTATTAAGGAATGTAGTTCCTTGGATATCTGAACCCATTTTATAATTCATTACCGTAAATATGAAGAACTACAATACCCGAAGTCCTACGGGTCTCGCACCGTACTTGGGGTGTCTTTGGGGGGGCTGAAACATACGTCGGAGTCTAGGCACGGACTCTGCTTTTGGCAGAGTAGGGATGTATGACAGATGATGAAGACAGAGCACAGACCGGGAGGAGAAGTGAAGATAAAATAAAGAAACGCTTTGAAAGAAATAACTGTCATTATTCCGCAGATGGCAATGCATCGTCGTCTGCAGCGGAGAACACGTTATCGCCGTTGTCATGAATTTTAATTAATGTTCACAGTACTGTTGTTTCTCCCATGCAGATATAAAAGACGGGAAATGAAAACCCCGTGCAACCAGTATGGATAAATCATTAAATATCTCTCGGTAAAATACCGTACCGTGTATAGCAATATATAACACAGTGTTAGCACAAGAAACGATTATTTTTCTCTCGAAGGAGACACTACACTGATTTACAAAGGGAAGGGCTTTCTGGAGTTGAAGAACGAGAATACATCACGAAATACCTAAGGTAAGGAATCATTATTGAAATGCATTTCCAGACATTTCCATTGTAATGGTAATAGGTAATGCAATAGTAACGGGTCGCGTTTGAGGGGGGGAATGTTGAGTTTCGGCGTTGAACTTGCTGGTTTATGTGCATTAGACGGATGCAATTTGGGTTGGCAGCGCACCGGTCTTGCGGGTGGAAGCTCTGTCCTCCGTGAAAGTGCGATCGCTCTCATGCCCGCTTCCCCACATGAAAGGCAAGTTCCGTCCAGCCGCGCTCGGTTCTTTCGCTGCCCGAACCCCCGCCGACCCGCTGGCGTTGCTAAGATACGACCATCGTGCTCGGCGACGTTACTGCACGTATGTCGCTTTTCCACATGTGTGCGGCTCGTCGGCGCTTTACTTTCAAGCAGCCCGCGTCCCCAGAACGTTGTATGAAAACCTGATAGTAACATCCGGGGGGCTGTGGGCTGTGCGCCAGATTCTGTCCCGCTCCCCCATTTCTGGGAATAATCCCGAAAGGCTATAGAGGGCCGAGGCTGCGTTTCTCTACATGCATTTAACTCAAGTTTCTCCTACCGTCCGGAGAAAAAGTTTTTGGCACGCGACAGCGGTGCAATTGGATTTACGAGATAATTAACGAGGGAAACGTCATTTGTTACAGCTGGAAGCGAGCGCATTTATTCCAGACTAAACACTGCCCATTCGGTTTTTAATGTGTTGGGGAAACTTCTTACAAAGTTGTCGAGTCGGTACGACGCAGATTTTTTTTGGCACGCATAGACGATATATCCATTAAATATACTGGACCCCATGTGTTACACAGGCATCCATTTCCAGCGTAGGGAGCCCCCCTCCCCCCGGCCATGCAAACTGGGCAGTGGGCTTTTTGGTTTAGTTGCTGTCGGAGCTGGTAACGCCATTGCGATTAATTTGATAAAAAGTTTACGAGCAGTTATTTGTGGTATTATCCTAGGTGGAGTCCGGCATGTGTAACCGGCTGCTTAGGCGGTGGGTAAAGAATCTGCGCCATTTCCAGATACAGTGGCTCGTCTTTTTTCATAACGCAAGAGATAACAATCAAATAATGTAATGAAAAGGGACACATTGATGTGATCTGTTGGTTATTAAACACCCAAACCTGACTTGTGCATATTGTATTATTACCACTGTTGGTGCTCATCTTGTTAGTTGAACCTTAATGTTTTTGTTGAACTGTTATATTACAGCAGAATGGTTTCTGCAAATGCAGGGTGATCAACACAGATTGTCTTCGCAGAAGTTGTGGATTTGTTGTTCTCTTAATGCTCAATGTGACACTTGTTGGAAGTCCAGTTAGGGTCATAATTTAATGTTTGAAAAGAACAAATGAGAAAGAATAATCGAAAACCGAAGATGAGCTTTGTTCTTAATTAATTCACATGGGTGACCATTTTCAATAGGGAGAATATCTCATAGGCACAAATTATCAAGGGGATTAACCTATTTCTATGACATTTCCCTTGGTGCATCATTACATTAAGCCATTAAATTGGAATTCATGCAGTATTAAATGATATTAGGAAACATCTCAGTAGGCTTGTGTGGTTTGGGTTATTGCCCCACGTAGAGCTGATCTGCAGCTGTTAGTTTTCACTCCACTGTAAGATCTCTGTTAATGAATGAGTTGTGTGAATGAAACAAATGGTACTTGAAGTTTTGGGTCTTCAGAGACTGGAGACGTTCTTCCAGCAGTCTGCGTTCTCCCCTCTCCCATCTGCTCATTTTGGTTCTCTGGAGCTCATCCCTTAGGATGCAGCCCTTAAGTCTCGCAGACTCATCGGCGCTCATGATCCCCTGCTCCATTGTGGGGCCTGTTGTGTGAAGAGATTTGAGTCAGGGCTGCTTACCAAATGACATGTTGCCCGAAGGCTAATCAGATTTGCCAGTGGATATATATTAGCTCACTGTCAGTAGTCACCTGTGCGAGGTGACAGGTAGCAGGGTGATTAGAGACGCATGGGCAGTTACCCTTGTGGACTTTAAAATGTGGAGCCGGAGTCACTTCTGGATGGCGGTTTCTCTGACATCCCTCATCAGCATTTCAGATGCCACCCTGCTAAAATAAAAACAAATGCATGCAGGATGGTCACCTTGTCCACGGAAAAAATCATGCACGCAGTAGAGTGTGCCTCTCCCAAAACGATATGCAAACTGATACGTCACACAGCCTGTCGCCTGATTGGACAAGTAACCCTGATGCGTGTTAAGCTAATATATCAAATGTCTTCAAGGACATTTCAGAGACTGATGCTAAAAGACAATAGGTATTATTACATTTATCATGTTATTTTTATATTTGCAATATGTATTCCCCTCAGGTTGAATAAAAGAAATCCCAAAAGATATAACACTATTTTTAAGAAATAGTAATTCCAAGCATGATCCAGAAACACTAATCACAACTGTTAAGAAGTATGAGATACCACAGGTCATATAACATGTCTGGCACCTTGTTTCCTGTCATATGGGTTGTAGTATTAAAAATAATTAACTGCTGACTATATGTCGGAGAACTGATTATTAAGGTTACTCATGAATGCCCACCCAAGATGAAAGTGTTTTGTTCAGTTATTGAAACAGTTTCAAAGAGGAAAACAGGTTGGAACATCACCTACACAAGATTAATACACACGGAGACACCAAGATTAATTGCTAACTTCTGGACTGCTAAGATCCCTTGGCCATGCAGCCTCAATCTGGTGATGCAGTGTGGGAAAGCCTTCAGAGATGATGACGAAAGGCATGCAGAGAGTCTGGGGGAGTAGAAGGTGGGGAGTGGAGGGAAGGGAGTGGGATGGATCAGGAAGAATAAATATTTTTTAGGAAACCCCCATTTTGGTGTGACAGCATCTCTTTCATAGCTGAGAAACTCTCTTATTCTCTGCTGAGAAGTGAATAAGGAAAGGTGGAGGGTAACCAGTTCATGCAGGTTTTGTAAACTAGAGATACAACAGATGAGATACCAGAAGACGAGTCATCATAGTGAAGGGAAATATGCTGAAGACAAAGGAGGATTTGTCAAAATAAGAGATGAGCGAAAGAGAAGTGGAGCAGCATTGAGGGTACTGGTGAATACTGGTGAATACCATCAACATCAAAAGGACGTTCAGAGCTTCAAAGGATTCAGATGTTGGTCAGATCAGAATGCGTCCTCAGCAAAATGATCACATGTCGGTTGGGTGCTTCAGCATGGCCCCTAACCCCCTGAAATGCTCCGGACACGCCAGATAAATAGCTGAGCCTTTGTTCTGACCCCAGACTTCATTCTCAACTGTATAAATGTGTGTGCATCTCAAAGGAGAGCAAGATGGGAGATGCGAAGAGAAGCATTCAAATATCAGATATTCTGTGGGCAGTAATGCAGTTTCCGAAATCTTCAAGGAAGTCTGAACACTGAACAGCAGTGCAGTGTTACCTGCGGGGGGGGGTTATGTCAGGGTATACACCGTAGAGGGGGTGGGGAGGTGAAGGTAGGCCAGGAATCGCCGGGGGGGGGGGGAGCGCAGTCATCTGAGCTGTGTCATTGCTGTGCCAGGAGGGCTCTGGTTAAGGAACTGTACCACATGCAGTGGGGAGACTGATCAGAGCTGAGCACTTGTCACAGGAAATGCATGTTTCTGCCCCGAGCAATAAAGACCAAGTAAGAGCATCCAGAAGCGGCAAGGGAGAGCGGGGAGGAGTGGTGTGCTGTGGGACGTGCGTGACCGGTGAGCCCGAACGTCCAGCAGGGCTTATGTGATTAGACGCATATAGGTATCCTGTCAGACTAAAAATAAAATAGAGAACAACACAAATGGCTTGACCCATTACAGAGATGGAAATGTCCCATTTCCCTTTTCTGTCTTAAGGGCTGGTACAGGGACCCCCACCGCAGCTGTGTCACAATAATATATTTTCTCTCTCTCTCTCTCACACACACACACACACACACACACACACACACACACATATATTACAGACATATATGTGTGTGTCTGTCACACCAGGAGATCCACACTTAGGTAGAGTAACTAATTCCAATAATATTCAAATTAATTTCCATGCTTCAGGAAAGCAGAATTATTGTATTTATGAATATATACAGGACAGTAATCTGTACTAAAATGGCAATGAAGCAAGTTACCATTGAAAACAAACACCTTAATTATCCTCTTTTTGTATAAATTTTGGCTGTTCATTGCCAACTTAATTTTTCTGTTCATGTCGCCTTTCCTGATAACAACTGAATTGCTTCATGGCAAACAGTCCTGATTAATATTCATATTTTTCTCCACTGGTTTCCCTGAAATAGCCTGGCTCTTGTTAGACTGCGGTGATTTGCTCTGGATATGCCCCGCCTCCACAGTCCAGCGGCCCAGCGCCTGGACGAAGCAGACACCTCTGACGTATCCCCTCCCCCTCCCCCCCCTTCCCGGAGAACAGAAATTGTCAACCGCACCCCATACTGGCATCTCTGGTTCAAGTAACGAAAAGGCTGCTTCTCCGTGTTCTGCTGCGTAGGGAGACGGTAGAGTTTTCTATTCCTAACGTGCAGCCAAGGGCCGGATTTTTGCCAGAAAGTTCTTGTTCATGAAACTGATATTTCTTTTGCATTCATAATGAGATTCTTTATATCCCCCGGCAAAATGGGGGCATTTCATTTTCCCAGAAAGACATATTATTTCCTGCTAAATAAATGTAGATGTACATCCAAAATGCATTTTAGCAGGTCAGGTTTATATTGCTAGTCTGAACATAATCAACCGGTTAAACTTGACAGACTGTAATGCATACGGTTACGTTCATGTCTTACAAAGGCAGTCCGTCGACAGTGACCTATGCTAAATGTGCTAGTCCTCCTTTTACAGTGATATATGAAAGGAGCAGATCTTAAAAGTCTTCTAAAATGACTAGCTAATTGGTTAGCTAATGATAAATAAAAGGACCATAGATATCCTTGTCAACCCAGAGGGTCTTGATTAAAAAGAAAAGGTTTGGTCAGTCTTCCCTTTGCCCTAAATTTCATCATTTCAATTTATTTGATTATGACAAGAAATCCCTTGCAGGCCATTTAAATGGGATATCTATAATCCCCAGACGGGAACCATCTTTCTCTTTGTCAGCTCACAAAGCAGGAGCCTTGGAGGGACCACATTTTAATGGAAGCCGGTTCCCTCAGTACCGTGTGGCGGTAAATTCGTCTACTGTAATTACCGCAAGGTGTAGAGTTACCGTTGCCTCCCTGCTGTGGGGGACACAAAGGCTGAAATCCAACCCCATCTGCCTTGCGATCCAGGTGGTTTTACCTTTCGGCTAGAGACGTGCGCAGAATCATCGCAGAACAAAGAGTTAATTTCTGCGACCTTGGGGTCACCACAGCCTGGAGCTGTCAGTGCTGATGGAGGAAAGATCAGCACCCTGGAGAACCAGTGTACATGACACACCGAGGCCACCGTCGATGCAGGCTTGCTAATCAGAATTTATATTAGATAGCTAAAGACCAGGCTTTCGTCATTAGCGGGGATAGAGTTACAGTCGTCGTTATTAGTTATTGTTAGTACTGTTACTAATGTCTGAATCGCTATTATCTTTTTTTTTTGTGGTGGGGTAGCCACCATCCAACTGCCATTAATCATTTTTTTAATCGTCTTTCAGCACAATAATTAGGGTCCATTCAGGTTGAAGCCGAACAAACTCGGTATGTGAAATTACAAGCGATCACAGTCCTAATGGAGCAACAGTGGAATGAACTGCATTGAATCACTGTCTAAAGTCTCCTTCCATATAGGGGCAGATTAGTGTTAAAATTAAACTGCAAACATGGACTGGGGAAAACCCTTACATAGTTCTGGCATTGGTGAACAATTGATAGATGGAAATAGAGAACAAAAGTGTATTTCAGAGTGGGGCTTTCTAACCTTTTGATGACCGCAGATTGGGGAGGGGGGTTGTGAAAAAAAGGCATGGCTTGAATGTATAGTTTATTTTTAGAAATGAACCAACCTCTCCCTCAAAGCCCCAGTGTTCCAAGGGGTGGGAAAGGCGGAATTAGAAGGCCGTATCTGCTAGCTGGAATATCTGTCCGAGTGACAACCACTGTAGCTAACAGGCTCTGTCATGTGATAACGCACAGATCAGTACACACAATTTTCCACACTTACACGGCTGTCGCATCAGCCTTCACCAGTAGTTTTACATCCACAAGTAAATTCAGCTCAGAGGGTCAGCAATCCGCAGTGTTTGCAGAACTGCAGGCAGATGCTGTCTGAGAAGGTGTCATGAGCCGCAGTGCACGTGCAGAGTTGGCAGATAATCATGGCATATTGGGTTATATTAGTGTTGGCCAGTCCAGTCCTCAGGGACCCGCAGCAGTCCATGGTTTTGCTACCTCTCAGCTGGACTGTCTGGCAGGGAGGGAGCAAAAATGTGAGCTGTCTAGCAGGTAGCTGGGAGGGAGCAAAAACGTAGAACGACTGGGTGCCCAAGGACTGGTTTGAACAGGACTGAACAAAAGGGCCCAGCAGTTAATTGTGTGTCTCAGGAGACATTATGATTCAAATAAAGGAATCAGTTTCAAGTTTTAATTCAATTTTTTTTTTTTTGTTAAGCCAGTTGGTGCCCGAGAATAAGAATCTGACCCATATTCTGTGCACAAACTGGGCCCCTCCTGGCCCCCGCCCTCCCATACCAGGGAAAGGTTAAAAACAAACTGCCCTGTGGGGCGGAGGGTGGGGGGGCGGAGTCACGTTTCACCTGTTCCTTGGTTAGTCCGCCATCGGTGATGAGCGGAAGGACAGGGACGGGAATGACGCTTTAAGAATCGCAGGAGCCCTGATGGCTGCCTTAAATCTGCCCACGTCAGACAAATATGGCGAAAAGCAGTAAAACTGCATGGCTGTGTGGTCCTGCGTTCCTTAGAAGAGCGACGGCCTTGGAAATCCCTGCCTGTGTTTATGGCGCCATGTCACCATTAGCCCCTGAATCTCCTCCGGTCGCGGTGTCGTCACTGGGCTGTTTTTTCCATGTTTTCCTGTTACTCCCGAGCCGCAGTGGCCATAGTGTACTCATGTGAGTATTCGCCAGGCAGCTGTGTGTGTTCCCATGGACACCCGGCGAAGGTTAGACCTTGTTTGTGCAGAATGGCTGGTCTGCTTTAACACTTACACCGTAGCACTTACACTTACATAAGCGGCAAACAGCCATCGCATTCCAGACGGCCGCTGGGAAGACAAGCCAGCTGGCTCGTCGGGGGCAAATGCCACTGTTCTCATGTTAGGAAAAGGGGCTATTAAGGGGGGGCATTAAATGGGGAAACAGGGTGGGGTTGGGGCTGCTACAATCTGCCAATACCCCATTTTGGTGGCTGCACTGATGCCTGCGGTGCCCAGTGATATTATAAACGGTTCGCTGGCAACGCTGCTGTAAATACTGCGATCATGCTGGGGGTCTGTGGGAGGCTGCGGGTTTCATTCACACGACGAGATGAGCTAAAGCAGAGTCTGCCAGCGGGGGAGGGGCGGGGAGCTCTGACTGGGGATGGGACCCCAAGTACGATCCAGCGAACCGATGGGAAAGCTTTTTACACCTCTGAATGTGGTCCAATCTATTGTATGCTGGGGGCCAGTGATTCTGGCCCTGGGTTTGACTTCTGCATGTGCCAGTTTGCCCATAAACATAGCTTCCTGGTGGAATTCCCTTCTGATTGGTCAGGGCAGTCACCTGTCTTATCCTTTCTCAGAGACTTAAACCCCCGACTCCCCAGTCTGTGGGTATTCGCCAGGCAAGGACCAGGGTTATTATTGTTAACTAAAACTATAAGAAAACATTTTTTTAAACTGAATTAAACAGAAACAAAAAACTACAACTAAACGAAAACTATAAATATTGCTCCAGAAACTAACAAAAAAAAACGAACGTCAAATACTTCCCATTACCATTTAAAAATACTAATTAGCGTAAGTTATTAGTTGTTTATCTTTAATTACCATTAATTATACCTGGAACAGGCTTTGCCTGGGCATTATTACATACCTTAGTGCTCTGTGTATTCTTGTAGGATTCTCTCAGACACAGATCGGACACATAAAATAGGTCCATAACTTTCACTATATCCCTAGAAATAAAATTACTAAGACATAAACTGAAACTAAAATAAATAAAACCTAAAAATAAATATATATTTGATGTAAAAACTAATAAAACTACACTGAAAACTAATGAAAACTAAACTGGATTTCAAATGAAAATATAAAAATAAAAACTAAAGAAATCATAACTATAATATCCTTGGTGTTTCCACAAACACACCTTCCTGGTGGAATTCCCCTTGGACATGTTAGGGCAGTCGTCCCTCTTCTCCTTTCTCTCAGAGACTTAATGAAACCCCCACCTCACCAGACTGTGGGTGGTCGCTGGGTGGGGGCACGCCGCTTTGGGCAGAAGATGCTGCCGCAGCCACACAGGCCTGTAACACGGACCCGCCGTCGTCATGGACACCGCAGCCATCGGAATTTTTGCTGAAGCTCCTACCAGAGGACAGGATCACGTGGCATCTGATTGGCTGGCTTGATTGCAGGCATGGCTCAGTGTCAGAGGAAGGGAAGAGGGTCAACAGCTCCCCGGCGAGGTCAACGCCGCTTGTCCTAAGTTGAAATTCCAGTTCATTCCTTGAGCACATGTGATGGCCTGGATCCTCCTGTTTGCAGTAAATCATAACAACACGTAGAGCAATGTACAAACAATGTTAATGGGTTTGAATCCCAGAGAGCGTACATTAAAAAAATTGCATGTTGCTTTGGATAAAAGCAACAGATACATAAATGTAAAACCATGCAGCAATAAACCAGAATTTGCAAATCACCAACTGAGTGTCTGATTTCTCAGAAGGAATGGAAAGAACTGAGCACAGAAGGGCTGATTGGAGACGGTGCCTGTCTTCCTCTGTGGGGCCCCTTCAAGTGGGTTGCTGCGGAGGACCATCCCAGTCACAGAAGATGATCACACACCACAGGAGAACAGTAACGTCTAACTGTAATCCTCCCCATCCCGGTTAATAAAAAACAACTGAAGGTGATCAAGCTAAAATGTGCTACTACAGTAAGCTCTTGACTTCCGGAGAGAATGCATTGTGGGGGGGGGGGTGCAAAGACCATTGAAATCATTAATCCAGCGGCTACGTTACTTGCCGCCACCCAAAGTTTGTCTGTTTTATCACATTAACCTGATAAATGGGGGCTGAATCCGTCTTTCTGGATCCATCAGTAACAGGTTTTTCTAAAAACCGCCTCCTGGAATGTTCGGTTTTAGCTCATTGATTTCTTTCATCGCATCTCCATGACAAGTCAGGAGTGATGTTGCATCGTCATAGCAACCTCCCCCCCCCCCCCCCCTTTGCTTGTCCTAACAGGATGTTAGCTTTTTGGGTTTCTCTGCCTCTCAGATCACCCTGGGCTCATGTCATCGCAGACGGTCAGAGCTCGGCATGGCGGAGGTAGAGACCCTCCTGACTGTTCGGGGAGATTGAAACGTTACCTGGGGGCTGTGTCCTGCTTCATCTGTTTTGTTTTTCTGCACATTCTGCAGACTGTGCCTGACTGTGTTTACTGAGGGATGTGCTTGAAGCAAAAGTACATGCAGTATGTAGCAGTACGCCAGTGCCCCCTCCCCCCCCACCTTCCATTTCTTTATCAACGGAGCCTGACAAAGGGCCCTTGTTAATCAAAGTGAGCGCGTGAGTGTCAGTTGGTGCCATCAGCTGAGCTGCCCCCCCCCCACTTCCGTGTCATAAGGAGAGCTGATGTCTTAGTCTGGGGAGACACAATCTCTGTCTTCTTCATTGCTTCTTCCTCCCCCCTCCCTTTCTTTCTGCCATCCTTTATCTCCAGTCCTCTACATCGTCAATGCTCAAGGACAGACAAATTGCTGAATATAGTTAGTAGAAAAAATTATCTAAAATTCATTTCTGTAATTGGGGGAGAATCAAAGTGCCAGCATCACTGGTACGGCACCCACGCGTGCAGCCGCAGTGCGCGGTTGGCGTGCGAGGCCGCGGTGTTCAGTGGCGCGCTGAGCCGGCTGAGAGGCTTCCCGCCACATCACAGCCACCTGTACAGTGTACACTGTACAGTGAAATGGCAGTGAAACGGCAGGCACGGCGCTGCGGCTCCATTCTCCCGCCTCCCGTGAGCCGTGGTGCGTTATGGGCGCCCATTAAGCATGACAGGCCTCTGCGGCACTGCTCAGCACTGGAGAGGGGTGCAGAGTGGACGGTGTGTGGCGTCGCCATGGTAACCTGTGCTCTCCTGGCTGCCCTGCTCCTGTCATGCCAACTGTCAGTCTGGATGCACTTAACATAGCACTCCATTAAAAATATGCACATTTCACTAAGACCTGCCCCCCCCTTGTACTGTCATTTGCTCACTTGCTCTCTCTCTCTCTCACACACACACACACACATTTGTAATTATATCTTTGTGGGGACTCTCTATTCATTTCTATGGGGAAAACTCTAAGCCCAACCTGACGACCTTAACCCCTTATCCATAAGTAGCCAAACACAATACGAGACTTTCGGCACTTTTCGTTTTTTGACCGTAGTCACAGATCTTTGTGGGGACCTGAAAAAAGGTTCCTGCAACATTAAAATAACAGGTTTTTATTGCATCGTGGGGGGCATTTGGTCCACACACACACACACACACAATGGTTTGTTTGGGTGTTTCACAGCAACTGAGAATCAACAAAAACAACCACGGAGGAATCCCAGCGTTGGCTGTAAGCTGAAGCCATGGCCTAGAATTTTACCCAGTTTTTCACGTTCTGATGAGTGAAATGTGGGTTGCTAATTATGCTAATTTTTTTAAATATATTTTTGCTTTTCTGAGTGGCCGCTTGTGCTAGTGGGTTCTTGGCAGTGAAGCCGGTGCTCTACAGAGGACAGGAGTCTTGCCTCGTCTAAAGCTTCCCACTGGAGACACCCAAGATAGCAGCACATATTCTTCCTATAGCCAACTGGGACAAGCCTAAGAAAGGGAGTGAGAGCAGAAGGAAAAGTGAAGGAGACATAGGGGTGACAGGTGACGCGATAAAGAGCAAAGGGGAATAGTGACGAGAGATGAGAGACAATGAGGATGAATGGGAGAAGACAGACCAAGAAGGGAATGAAAAGAGGAGGGGAAAGTGAGATGGAGGTAAGAGGGCCAACGGGGTAAGACGGAGGGCATAGATGGAGGGAAGAGGTCAACCTGGGGTAAGATGGAGGAGAGATGTGGAGGGAAGAGGTCCACAGGGTAAGATGGAGGAGAGAGATGGAGGGAAGAGGTCTACAGGATAACATGGAGGAGAGAGATGGAGGGATGAGGTCCACAGGGATAAGACTGATGAGAGAGATGGATGGAAGAGGTCTACGGGATAACATGGAGCAGAGAAATGGAGGGAAGAGGTGCACAGGGTAAGATGGAGGAGAGAGATGGAGGGAAGAGGTCTACAGGATAACATGGAGGAGAGAGATGGAGGGATGAGGTCCACACGGTA